TAGTCGGTAAGTCTTGTTGGAGGCAGACATTGTGAAATATGAACATACATGTAATGTTGTATACCTTTTTCTAAATTTCTCGGTGAGAGACTACCCTGTCAGAATTCTACCTGTGTTAAATCTTCTTATAATATTGAGTGTTCTTTTACTGTATTGTTTCCTTTGTGCATTTAATTGGTGGAGTAACACATCTGCTAACCTTCCTTTCTCCTAACTGCTAAATGAATGTTTGATTAAAAATAGAGAAAAAACATATTCATGGAAACTAGGGACACTTCCCCAACATACATACATTTTTGAAAAGAAGATATTTTTGTGGGACAGAGTTTGCTTCTTCTTTGCTAATATTATCTTTTTGTGCCTTCTTGAACCTTTATTGATGTTAACTTTGGATTTTATTTTTTTGCCAGTAATGGGAGTTTCATATCTTTTTCAACTTCCTATGACTACAAAATAGAAAGTTTCTTCCTTGATTTTCTTGCATTTTTTGTGTGACATTCTGTGGTTACACAAATGTTTATAATAAAGGTGCTGAAATTGTTCATCTTCATTTTGAGAAGAATTTGTTTGTTTATTGAACACTATAGTTTAGACTTTCTCAGTTCTTCCGTCACCAACCCTCTTGTTCCTCTTCAGGCACCAACTGTTACCTGACCACTCCTCTCTTGAGCTGGACCTTGAAGAGGAACTCCAGGCAGCCACAAACCCTCTCACAGAGGCAGCTGACCTCCGTTCTGCACCCATGACCATCTCGGTTGACTCTGCCATACACTCAGCCACAGGCTCACGCTCTGCTTCATCTAGCCCTTTGCCCACTGGTCTTGGCCAGTCGCTGCTCAGGTACGCCCCTTGGCAGCCCTTCCCTCAGGTGCATGTACCAGTCTCACCTCACGAGTCACATGTGACATGGGAGCCGACACTCAAATCCACTCCCAAGATGAGTGAATCCCAACCTAGCTATCAAGAGTTAGTTAGTCAGTCTTGTGAGTCACAACCTGCACACATGACATGGCCGCGCACATGCTCCTCTGCGCATCCAAAGTCTCAGAGAGAATCGCAGGAAACGGAGCAGAAGGCTGCTCAGACTAGATCATCCAGTTATGATTCAGCACTTGAGTTGAGCTTGAGTGATAGATTAGTTGAGAGTTGCACAGAACTCTTAAGCCCTTAATAGTGACAATTATATAAAACAGTAATTAGTGTTAAAAGAGAAAAAAAGTAAACAAACAATACTAACAGTGCCTTGAGAAGGGAGTTTTCAGTTCATGACGCAGACCGTGAATAAGACAGTTAAAGAGGCAGTTGAGAAGCACTATTGGCATTAGATAGCCCAGATGCTGCTTCGCTTACAGTCAGAGACGACGTAACTCCCCGCTTACATCCACGCTACACCAGACGTGCAGGAGGTACCCGTCCTTTTGTTTTTGCATGTTGGTACCTAGAGTCGTGAGCCCTCTCGCTACTCCCTTCACTGCAGTGCTTCCTTTTTTTTTCCAAGTTGGTTATTTATGTTCTGTATCATTTCTGAGAACATTTGATGTTGTATGTACTAACCATGACATCTTGTGAATGCTAATATTAGGTACCGTGTAATAAGCAGATATGCCTGTAAGTTTCCTAGGGAAGCTTGAGAATAATTCTTTCCTTTAACACTCAGGTTTAGCTAACAGTTTGCTGCAGATTGGATAATAAACTGTAAAGAAAAAAAATGAGAAACTCTTACTTTAGCAATCAAAAGATAATGATTTCATAGTAAGGCTGATCTCTCCAGTCTTTTATCATTGATTATTGGCTAATAGTCATACCGGCATCTATATAAAGAACAGGTGAACATAAGCATTACTATTTTCTAGTTCTGCAGCCCTGGGAATGCCAATTGGTAATTCCTGTTCCTTGAGGGGCAGCTACCAGTGGTTCATGATTCAGGGCATTTCCCAAGTGATGGTTTATTTCCAGAACATGATAGGCATTTTGACTCCCAAGAATAGGTTTCCTAAAAGTAACTGATCCTGTTATTTTTTCAACATTTGTTTCGTTTATAGAGAGAAAGCATAAGTTACTCATTTATGTATGTATGTTATTGGTTGTTTGTGTTTATTTATCTCTTTTTCTCATTACTGATATCTCAGGCTATACAGATTCTAGGGATTTTCTTCCAAATTAGGTGAATTACATACTGGTTGTGACAGTTTCGACAACCTTTCTCTTCTTTTTCACTTTCTTTTTTTTTTTCCTTCTTTGAACGGCCACCTGTAGCTTGTTCCCTTGTTGAGGGTTTGTTTGGTTTGAAGAGCTTGGTGTACTCTAGAAGCCTCATTTAGCCACTCTATATCTGCTCTGAGTTGCCAGATGTATGTGTTCTTAATTTACAAAATATGCAAACAAAAGCAAGGTGGAAGTGTCAAAGAAACATCTCTGGATGTGGAGATGCGAGACTTAAAGACATCTGATGCTATTTTGTCTTCAATAGTGATAGGAAAAAGTGGTAATAGGTGGCTGC